CATTATGTATAAACTCATTATGTACAAGAAATATACATTAAAGCTTATTTATTACGTTGTCTCAAAAGTCCATCATGTTTCTTTGAATGATATGTTGATTTTACGGCATTTAAAGAGGATTTTCAAAAGCCTCTAGCTATATTTTGTGATTTTTAAAAATTACAATTCTGCGAATACTTAGTTTATTTATTCAACAAGATTTCGTAAATTAAAAAATTAAATAATTTAAATTATCTTATTTTTATGCTTGAAAAACTAAGAATTTTGTGAAAAAAAAAGATTTTATTGAGAAGAATTCTAACTTACATGTCACGTCAACAGTGTTATAGTCGCAGGATATTATAAGATTGACGCCTTTATTGTTATTATGTTTTGCTAAATAATACAAGAAAATTTTCTTAATCAGAGTCGAGTTTTGAAACAAATTAGCCACGATCATCTGCCGTTCGGCCCAGCAACAACGTAAAAACTAAATCAATTAAGTTTTCCAAGCTATCACAAATAGTTTAATTTAGTAAATACTAGAATCCTATTTAGCTGCCGAGTTCGAGTTCAAGTAGCTGCCATACAAACTTCAAAAGTTATTTGGTCATATATTATGGAAACTATTGAAAGTACAGTGCGGAAATTGTGCACAAACGAATTCAATAATATGGCCATTATTGAATTTAGTTAAAAGTTATTTAAATTGTATGGGTTTGTATAGCTGCCTTTTATAGCTTTTTTATATATGTATAAAAAAACAAAAGATCTTGTCAAACGGTTTGACAACTCTTAGAATTTTTCATTCGAACGGGTATCAAAATGTTGACACGGTCTACTCAACCCATTTTTCATTATCATTGAAAATTTTTTCTCTAAAAATAAAAGTAATGAAACTTCAACGACAATGCAACTATGTGAATGAAAGTATACGTAAAATTATCTACCATATTACACTGAGAAAGAAATTAAGGCCCAAAATAAATACAATTATTTAATTACAGATCTAATTTTTTACCTTGTAACAAAAATATATTAATTAATAAACGGTTAAGAATAATGCCTGAAGAAGTCTTTAAAATTGGGTTATCAAAGGATATTTAAAGTAGATTAATGGTAAATTTGGTTACCATTATTTACGAAAGGAAATAGAAATTATTAAAGCGTTCTTAATAAATGAATTTTGATGTAGCAAAATAATATAAAAAAATCTGATGTGATCAGCACATAACCGACCGTACTATGTATTGTCTAGTTAAGTGAAAGTGTTACAGAATATTATAAAAATGCCTGTTAATTACCTCTTTCCAATTTTTAGGACATTAACAAGCTTATAGTTAACATACATAGAAAAATGTAAATTTGGCTCTTAGTAGAGTTTCGCTTTGTGCCACCCGAATTCCCTGAAATGCTCGTCAGTTAGTTTCGGTAACAACCAGAACTCAAATATCAAATTTCAAGAAATTCTATCAATTAGTTCCGTAGATATAGTGAAAAATGTAAAATCGGCCCGCAGATCAGTTTTCGAGCCCTGATCTTTCCAAAAAATTTATATGTTCATTGTTTTAATACGAAGAACCTAAATATTAAATTTCAATGAAATCGGTCGATTATTTCTCTTTCTATACGCAAAAATGTATATTTGGCCCGTAGTAAACGTCCAGTTGCTGACACCTGATTTCTTCCAAAAGTTAGGAGGTTTTGTGGCCGGCCGAGCGAAGCTTATATATGAAATTTCAAGCAAATCGGTTGAATAGTTTCTTTAAAATGATCAAAAATGTAAAACAGGCCAGCTAAAAAGTGCAGTTCCCGAGGCCTGATATATACCAAAAGTTGATCGATCCGTGCCATGGTGGAAATAAACTTACATATAAAATTTCATAAAAATCGGTTCAGTAGAACTTGAGATACACGCGTGCACACACAGACCGACAGACCGACAGACGGACAGACCGACAGGTTGCTAAAAATAGTTTATTTACACTTCCCTACTAAGGAGAAGTGCATTCCCATCGAAAACTCGATATGCAAAATTTGTTGCCATCACATAACCTACCTATTGTATACACAATACGGTCGGTAAATATATAGACTTATAACCTTTTTTTATTAGACAAAAATCTTATACACACTCATATGTGTACCTATAGCCTTACAAATACATCAAAAAATCCTTAAATAACGTTAACCAGAAATTTTAATTGCATTAAATACTTTTAATATCTATATATATACCTACAATGTTTTTGTGTATAAAGCAATTATGTCTTTATAATTTTTTCCCATTAAAATACTTTTAGATAACAATTAAAAGTTTATAAAGTAAATTAAAACTACATTTTCTTGAAAACTATATTTATAGACTTAAGTAAATTGCATTAAAAATTATGATTAAATTACATAAAAAAAAAAGAAATAAAACATTTTTCACCGGTACAAACATTTTTTTAAGGGGAAGGATTACGTTTAAATGCACACAAAGTATTTATCTACCTAGAGATTCTCGTTAAAATGTGGACCATTTATATAGGAACAAAATATATAGGCAGTAATTGAGTTGATTTGTCAGTCCTAAGTTCGAAAATGGAGGCTTATTCTTATTAACCAAATTATGAGACAAAAATTAACAATGCTTTTAAAATTATAAGGCAGCTATACCATAAGTTGTGTCAACCTCTGATTTCTATAAATCCGACTGTGAATCTAAAATAAAATATTGAGGTATGCATTATCGCTTAATTGTTGCAAAAATGTAGCAACTTAAAATTCATTAATTTTTACAATAGTAAAAAGTCAAAACTACAGACAGACATGTGAAAATTAAGGGGTTTCTGTTTATGCACGCTGCACTGAAAGTTCTACATTATTGAACTGAAATTTCTAACTTGCAGCGTTAAACAGTATGCAAAAACTTCAGCTAAGTTCATTACTATCCCATTACTTTTCACCTGCCCAATTCACTGCAAAATAAGGAAATTTTAACAAGATTTGAAGACTTAAAAAAAGACTTCGAAATTTAAAATTTTTTTTTGAGTTTAAATTAAAAAAAAAAATTCATGAGGCATTTCACTATTTCTAACATTTCTTTATTGCAGATTGAATTTACGAACGCACTTTATTGCAGCCAGTAATTTCCGAACGATCTATAATCTACATTCTTCCAGTGTATGTAGCGTGAATTTTCGAACGTACTACAAGCTTAAACTATTCTAGAACTGAATAAACGAAAACCCCTTTAATATTTACAATGAAATGTTAGAAAAGTTATTAAAAAGTCATTGAAATTTGCCGATTCATACAATTATACCAGTCCCATTGGAAACACTGTCTAATTTAAAGAAATTTTAAAATTTATTTTTGAATTTTTTTAAATTATTCAAATAACAACAATAATTATTGCCATATACTCATATATACCATATACACTTGGATATAAAATACTATACTTCATTTGAATACTTTATATCAGTTTAAGTTGCTAATAGTTACATAAATGAATATTAACATATTATATTGGAAACTCAAAAAGGATACACGTGTCGGATATCTCGAATATTAAGTATAATAATGAAGTTTTTGGTTTTCCTGTTTTCAGTTTTAAGTTTACGTGTTCTAACACATGCCTGTTGTAAAAAACTTCTATTTAATTAATTAATTTAAAATTTCCTGTGCCATGAATTTTTTTTATTTTACAATTTAACCCAATTAGTATATTAAAAAACATAAAAAAAAATACCAAAAATTCTTGGGCCACCCAATTTATAATATGTATGTACGTACGTATACTGCTGATAAAAACTTTTTATTTTTATAAGAAATTATAAAATATTATTTGGGAGCTTCTTGTAAAATGACGCAAAAATGTAACAAAGCTAAAGTTTTGGTTCTTAATATTTTTCCAGTATACGTACATACATATGTACAAAAAATTTTCATATTTTATTCTAAGCGAGACAGCGACTCACACATAATATACTAACATATGAAATACGAGTATATGTACATGTGTACACACAAATCAGAAAACGCAATATGCATATATAAAAATTATTTCGAGAGCACAGCGCATACAAATTTTACCATTAAATCCAAGAGAGTATATATGTACATATAATTTTGCATAAACATTATGTAAGTGTACAAAATATTATATTTGCATATAATATATTTCATAATTGCATCTAGTATTATGCACGTTTAAATTAAAAATGTATTTAGATTAGACGCGTAAACAAAGTTCTTATGTACGAATATAGTCACAAAATAAATTAGGTGAAATTCACAATATATGTGTTATGATTTTAAATTTACTGGACTTTATTAATATTTAGTAGATTAAAGATAATAAATTAACTAAACAATATTAAAAGCATAAACTAATTATATTTATATACAAAATTAAAGGTTAAAATATTTTTAATATTATCTTAACAAATTTAAATAATGTTCTTTAAGTTGTTCCCTGTAAAATTTATTCTAAACATTCATCATGAAATCAAAAATATTTATGTGAAGATTAAAAACTAATTACAGTTGCTTTGATAACCCAAACTATAATCATAAAATATTTAAATATATAAGTGGCCATTTTCCGTTCTACTTTCAATTTATATGGCGAATCAAGTAACGAAATATTAATCTTTTAATTACATTCATGTACTTTTATTATACTAAAAATGTATTTCAAATTTTAAAATAAATACAAGATAATTTATGCGTAGGTTTCCAGGAATTTATTTATTTTTTTTTTTTTTCTATAATACAGTACGTAATTGTAAATTGTATTAACAGAAAAACCTTAGCCTTTCAACTTGTAGGCCATTCCAGGAATTATAAATATTAATATCATATTGTACCTATAACATATATGAAATGTAAATAAATACATGTAAAATGTACTGAGTTCGATGTCTTAAAAATTTGTAACAAGTATTATTTTAAGTTTTTTGTATTTTACTATTTTAATTTTAAAAAAAAATTATAAATTTATAAATAAATTATATATAAAATTCACTTACGATTCTGTAATTAAATTTTTTTACTGGGGAAGCACTAGAGAATGTAATCCGAGTATGTATGTATGTACATATACATATTTTGAATTTTGAAAAATTGCATTAAATTTCAATTAATTTATCCTTTACTTAGTTGTATTTTAATCACTGTAATTAACAAATCACACGTCTAGTAGAATTAACTTGTGTTATTTTAGAAATATTTTACATTTTCTTGTTGAAAAAAAAAATTAAATAGTTTTGTGCATATTATATTTTTTTAATATTAACAAAAATAAATTTTCTTATTAATTTTTAAAATTCACATTTTTATTTATTGAATTCGTGATATGTGTATATGCATGTACATATGTATGTTTTGTATAAATTACAATGCTTGTTATTTTACGCGCTCTGTTCGATTTACCTTTGTTCGTTTTTTGAAAAGTGCATTCGTTTTTAACCAAAATGCAAAAAAAAAAAAAATTTAATCAAAAAAAAGTTTTGAATTTTATTTTTTTACTATTTTATCCTTTACATTGCATATACATATGTATGTAAACTTATATTCAGTGCACTAAGTAAAATATTTTAAATATTTTTTCTTTTTTTTTTTAATTTTTCTTGTTTTCTTTTCTATTTTGTTTTTAATATTTTACATTGCATTTATGTTTAATATTGTTTTAAGTCAGTAAAAGTATAACCCAAAAAAAAAAATAAAATAAAAAAGATTAAAGATTTTCCGGAAACACCTAAAGAACCGTTACACAAAAAGGATACTCTCTGACTGAATTTGTTTTGTTGATTAAAATTCCTGTTTTATTTTTTGTTTCTTTTGTAATAAAAATTAGATGGGTTTTGGATCATGCGTCCCATTAGGAATCATTGAATATATTTTTTTTCGGAATTAACTACATATTGGAGCTTTTTCTAGTATTTTATTCCTGTTATACATATCGGAATAGTGATAAATTGATTAAAATTTTATAGAGATTTTTCACTATTATTACTATTGTTAAAAAAAACTTGATTATTGAAAGCTTATTCTTATCACACTTTTGTAAAGTATATAGCGATATTATACTGTTGTAAATATTACCCTGCATAGTATTAAGTGCAATTTTGAATAAAATTGTTGACAATTGATTGACAAATCGTTTTTAATTTTATTTTTTTTTGTCGTCTTTGTCTCCTTTACTTATTTGAAGAGTATACCGCTTCTTCAATCTCAAGATTTTGTTTGTAGGCAAAATACTTAATTTTAGGTAATTTCTTTCATTGCTGTCGATGTTTACCAGTAATTTTAATATTTTTTAATACCAGTCATGATTTTCCAGATATATTATTTTTTCATTAGCCTCCCACTTGCTTATCGAAATTTTATCAAAGTGTGCCTAGGTCAAATAATTATTGAATTATATTTCGAGAACAATATTTTGATATCTGAATATAACTGCAAAAAGCAAATTGGAAATAATTTCTTGATTTACGCACAATTGATTATATCTACATAAATGCATACCTACCAATGATACAATGTTACAGATGATATTAGAATCTGTGTACTTACTAAAATTAGCTAAATAATCTTTAAGACTAGAGCTTTTTCAAAAAGGCAACTACTTTCTTTGTAGTTTTTTAATAAAAGTAAGTCAACGTTGCATATATTGGTTCAAAACATATTTTTTCGCAACCACTAGAAACAAGCATTCATTTTTTGTTTTCTCTTTACGTGCGTTGTTTTTTTAAAGCGATATCCCTGATGGCAAACTTGCAAATTTTCATAATTCCAGTAAAACTCAAATTCAAAAACCAGGATGCGGTATAATCAAAACTGTCGCCATTTATAATGGTATTCCAGATAAATTAAAATAATTAACCAACTTCAACAATTTTAAAAACAGAATTGGGAATATTTTCTAATTTTTGTATGATTGCAATAATTTAGACTTCATATCTCACATATAAGGATCTTTTAGGTTTATTTTTTTTTTACTTTTTTTAAATTTTTTTAACTAACTATTAACTTTTGTTAAATTTATACAACTAACTTATTTAACTGCTTATTGGCTTAATAAATTAAATATTTATTTAATATTTAGTTCTTAATTTTTGTTAATTTGTTTTTCCTTTGTTCTTTCGCATCATTTTGATATCTTTCTGTTTGTATTCATATAACTTTTTTTTTAATACAACTACAATCTGTATTTAGCTTTTTTTGAATAAATTGAAACAAATTGAAATTGAAATCTATTAAAACTAACAAACCTGCATCCAAAGCCAAAATTCACAAAATTTGTCCAATTTTATCAATTATTAATCAGTTGTATCAATTATTTTCACATGTATTCAAATTTTTGATTGCAGTTAGTTTTGGATACCTAGATCTACTTCAGTTACATTATAAGTATTATTAAATCTTTAAAATATTATGTTTAGTTTCGAATAAAATTAAACTTTGCAAATAATATGGAGGATTTGTTTTAAAGTACACTTAAAATTTTTCTATACTAACGTATTTTTTTAATTCCACATAATTAACATGAACAAAATTGTTAAGGTTTGTTTTTTTTTATTTTCCAACCAAATTTATTTTTCACAGAAGCGTTATTCATATAAATAAATAATCCTAATTCTTTCTGTTTCTTCTCCTCATTGAAAGAGTACACTTAGGACAGTACCATTTGCCTTTAGGTGACTGAGTAATTCCAACACACGGATAATGAAACCATTCGAATGGACACTAAAATATGAATTTGTTATTAAAGCAAATCTTAACAAAATTTTAAAACCCACAGCTTCATTGTCACACGCCACCATATCTCCATAAGAGACTTGATTACATATACAATATCTAGGCTCATTTGGATCATATGTCCATTCTCCATCAGGTGTCTGTTCTACAACCATTCCATTTTCATTTAGTCTAGGAGAACCTGGATCAGTAATCACGGAATTCAAATTAGAGGAATGCGAAACTGATTGAATAGTAGTGGTTGACATTGACTGACTCGGGACTGTTGGATGAGGTACACTCGTACTGATTTTTCTAAAAAAAAAACATATTTATCATAAAAACTTTCATAACATATTTAATTATACTTCTTTTGCCGTCGCTGATTGTGAAGCAGTTCTCTATCAATATTACTAATTATATGCGTTGAATTATTCAAATCTCTACTTAACAACAAATCATGATTACCGCTACTTACTGAGCTGGTGTGACCAATACTTCTTCTGTTTTGTAGTTGTGACGTTGAAATATTACTAGTTTGAGTAGCTGACATAATAGCACCATTGCCATTTAAGGTTTGACTATTAGCTTGATTAATATGTTGAACGTTGTAACTTACTATGGGAGACACTGGAGAAGTATTTAAAACTGTCCCATGTAAATTGATATTAGATGTTATGGTTCGTATGGGCTGAACAGCTGTGGAAGTTGACTGAGTTGGTATAATACTATTACTTATGTTCGGTCTCTTCTCAACAATTGATGTAATACTCGTACTGTCTCGACGTTTTTCAGGTTTCTGTCTAAATAGCTTGTCCTTCTGAGATTGAACGATACTACCACTTCCAATTGATCCAAAAAAGCGATTTTCTTTTTGATTCAATAAATTCTGCATAGAATTATTACCATCCAATTCTAACGATCTCTTTTCTAAAACTTCTGTTATGCCATTATTATCTGCTTCAAGTTCACATTTGAACTTAAAAAGTTCACTGTCTAGGCGCCTCAAATATCTCTCGACAAGCTCATGCATAGAAGACGCAAGTGAAACTTTTTCATCAGCATCCTCTAAGACCTTATAATAATCCTTTTTTAAATTTTCAAACTCATTATCTGCTGCATTTCCTTGTAATTCGTTTCTTCGACACTGACTGAAAAATACTTTTGATCGTTTTTCTAAAGTATCCATAATATCTAAAAAAAAGAATTCGTTAAATTAATGCTAACTTAATTAATTTATCCGTAAATTTTTGAATTTTTAGTAAACAAATTTAAATAAAACTACAAATACTATTTTTCGACTTACTTTGTACAGACAAATCCATTTCACGCATTTCTGTAAATCTATCTCGGAGCTCTTGTGGAAGATGCTCAATCACTTAAAATATATGATTGTTAGCTGAAAAAATAAATTATATCTGTTTTCTTACTTTCCAAATAGTCTTCTAAGTACAGCATTTCGAATATTTTCGAATAATTCACACAAAAACGGAAAATAAAAACTAACTATTATTATGCTCTTTAGTTAAATCAACTCCATTAAAATTTGACATCTAAAATAAAAATTCAAACGTCAAGTTTATGCTTCACTTTTGTGCCATTCATCGTTTGCGTTACCATCGTGTTCATAAATTAGTGTAATTGCTTCATCCAGTAGATTTTTAATAATTATTGTGAATTGGTAAATTGAAGATAATTACAGAAAGGGCAAATGTTTTAAAGTGCCAAAAAATGTTGAGCATTATATAAAATTTCTTCGAATGGTATTACATAATTATCCATTTTGTTAATTTATAATAAATTAATTATTAGCTTTTCACCATCATCGATTTTTCCCTTTATAAATTGCAAACATACATTAATATTAATTTAAAAACCTGCATAATTTTATATTTTTAAATCTAAAGAAACATATTTCAATGAAAATATAGAACCAAGGCGGCGGCCAACAACTGCAATGATTTACGTTGTTAGCCCAGAACAACAGCGGAACGGCAAATCACTGTTCAGTAGAATTTTAAAATTCATTAGTATTTTCGCAGCGTTCTGATCAATCTCATTTGTGTACATGTATTCTACATTTTTTTTACATTTCGCCGCTAAAAATCGTTCTTGTTTTGTTTTCAACTTGAGAATTAAAAATCATGTCCCATGAAAAAAAAAAAGTCAATTTTAGCAAATAGTTTTTTTTTTAGAAATTTAAGTGGACTCCGAACCACGAATTATATGGTCTCATTCATATTTAAAAACAAATTCATATTATAGACCACAAGAGAACAATAGAATCTAAAATGGAAAATTTACCAGGGTAAATATTTTAGCATATTTTTTTCTAAAATATTTTTTCACTCTTTTAGCAGCACTGTGCACGACATTTGCTGTCAAATCAAATTATTTAAACACAAAACAGGGCATTGTATTTTATGTATAATAATAAAATGAACCGCACTCCATAGCCCCCGGTTTTAATAAAACCAAGAACTAGAAACTTATTTTATTATAACTATGTTGAAAATTCAGAACTTCGTCGTTTAAATTCACATTTTAGAAATCACATTCACTAGTTGTGGTTTTATTTTAACGTTATTTAAAAAAAAATTATGTTTGTATTATTTGCTTCAACCCATTTAGAACATGAATAGAAAGCTTTAATATGAAATTGAAAAACATTTTATTTCTTTTAATTTATATTAATCCCTCAATTATATTAAACCTCATATTTCCTTAATCATTCATAAATCCTATTCTTTCTTTTACTTCTTGCTTAGACTTGACACCAACTTTGACTATCGGCGATGGTTGGGATGAAATATTCTCTGGTACTCGATCTTTGTACGGTTGTGATTTTAATTGCCTGTCTTGTTTAGCAGCATCATACTCTTTTAATTCACACAGTTTCAAACTTATACTTTGAATTTTTCTTTTGCGCATTTTCTGCAAGTTGTAGCTTTTATGAACTTTCTAATAATTATTGTTTTCCAATTCTTAATATTTTTTTTGTTTTTTATAGAATGTAAACAAGCATAGCAACTCATCAATTATCACATCTGAATTCTGATTAGACCACTAAATTCAGAAATGTCATCCATACAAAACAAAAATACTTTTCTTGACGTTAGAGGTGGGCACAAACGGATAAGTGTAGTAATATCGAATAACTCAATAATGTGATTGATCTTCTCTAATATAACAACTCATCAACATCTTACATTACTTAATTTTATATAATTCATGCAAAAAATTTTATAAAAAAGACTAAAGGAAAAGATTATAATATTTAACATTGTGCTGTCAGAATTGCTATAAAATTTGGGTACTAAATTTGAAATTTTGTCAATTTTTATAAAAAGAAAAAATATTTCCAAATCTTAAAAAGATAATAATCATCGAAAAACCAAATTCTTGAATACACACGAAAGGCAAGAAAAATAGCGGGGATCTTCAAATTAATATACATACTTAGGTAGCAGAATATTACATAACACAAAAAAAAAACACTATTACAGTATGTTTAGCACAGATATGAGAAAATGCGTTTGTTAAGTGCATGAATTTGCTACAAAAAGTTCAAAATAAAGCAATAAAAAACCTTATTTTGCTATAATAGTAGGATATCTACATCGTTAAACGTTAAATTTGTACTTCAAAAGTAAGCTTGTTACTCAAATTTACTTGGTTCTGACAAATCATGTAAACACAAATCCTGTACACTCATCCTTCGCTTTACGGAACTAATATGCTCCTGAAATGTTATCCGTAAATCGAAATTCTGTAAACCGAATCTTTTTACTTACATTACGTTACAACCACATAATTTTTAAGCGAGGGATGAGTGTATTAATTTTTAGTAGAAATACTCACAACTAGAATATAAGAACATCAAATAACATCAGAATAATATGTTCTTGACGAGTGAAATTGAACAATTTTATTTCTGTTTATAAAACCGCATTTAAACTATACAACAATTTTCCTAATAATAGAAAAACCATAAAAAATAGGTATTTTTATTTAAAGCTAAAATAAATGAATATTTTTCCAGTCCAATCTAGACTTTTTGTATGAATAAGTTATTTTTATTAATAACTTTAATCATAAAATTATTAATCGATTATTTGAAATTGTTAGATAGTTTAAAATAGTTATATTCATGTATAAATTGAAAATGTTATCAATGCGAAGTAATTGTTATTAAATGTAAACACTTTCTATGAGTCATTAGGAAGCTCTTATAAGTTTTGAATGAAATAAAAAACAAGCTAAACGAAATTTTCGGGCTTGCAAGCTGACATAGTAAAAACGCAGTTTGAGTTTAAATGAGGTAATTGGCGAAATTATTGTTTCATTTATGTGTCTATACCCTGCTTAAAGAACTATATTCAAAGAAAAAGGAAATACGCTATCATGATCTGCATTTACACGACGATTTTTGCATCGAAGATTGGAATACGTTTCATTTCCCTAGCTAATAAACTTGCGTTTATAAGTTGTCTCGTACACACAAGTATTTTAATTTAACATGGACATTTATTAACGCACTGCATACAATAAGGAAGATGATATGTTCAACTCCAATCAGACGGAACAAATTCAATCTCAACTGGAAGTGTACATCTTTTTAGGTATGTTAACTGAAAAGTTAACTACTGACTTCTTTAAAATTTGAAACAAGTTTTTCAAAGTTCATATACAATACATCCAAATATCAAAATCTCTTGGCCTTTAGGACATTGAATTTATAATAATTATACATAACAGTACTTGCATTTACGTTATATGCATGTAAATATGTACATATATATACGAATCTACAGACATTATATACCCATTATGTAAAAATTTATTATATAATAGGTTTAATAGACATATTAAGTAAACAAATTTTTACATTTAAACTCGTTTATTAGGTTATTTAATTTAACACATACATAGTATAAATTAACTTTTTTTTAATATATATACATACATATCATTATTTATTTAACATGTGGATATGTACACATGTGAAATGATTAATGACTAATACAATTTTTATAACTATTTTTTATTTACATAAGCACATAAATATATTTAACAGATTAAAATTGTGCATCATAATGGTTCAAACTGCTTGAATTGATCTTAACCACATTGGGAAAAAGCTAAAACTAAACAAAAATATCTCTTAGAAAAGTTATTATTTTAATTTAACTTTAATTACCTTGGATATTTTTCAAGTAAAGATGATTTAATAATATTGTAGATGATTGCGGAGCATAAAAGGATTTGAATATAATTCGGACACCTTTCGTAAAATGTATTTGTTTTAATGAAATGTTTATAGATACTTTGGCGTACAGCGCTTTTTGGCCCGATATTGTTACGAATAGCCATGAATCTTATCAATTCTTTGTCACTTCGTCTTTCATCTTTGTAATTCAGTCTGTTGTGATGTGTTAAATATTTAGTCTCTTTTCTCTCTAAGACTTTATTGGAGCCACTTTTGTCCACGAGATTTTTTTCCGAATTTTCTCCATCTTTGAAAAGTTCATTTTTGACTTCCTGTCGAATTAGCAATTTGCTACGATGTTGAAGTTGCTCCTCATTTTCTACTCTGGAGCTTCTTCTACTCTCAACATCAGACACTCTGCCATTGAACTGATAATTACGATGTTCTGAGCGAATATTTTGATTATGACTTGAAGAAATTCTATCATTTCGTGTAATAGAGCGGTCTTCCCTATTTATAAATCGACTTTCACGGTTTTCATCATTTATCCTTTCCGAATGTTGCATATTTTTATTCGTGAAACGTTCATTATCACGATGTTTATTTCTAACTTGATATTCACGATTTTCATCATTAGTTCTTTCTAAGCGTCGCATATTTTCACGATCTTCATAATTAGTTCTTGCTGAACGTCGCATATTTTCACGGCCTTCATTATTATTTCTTTCTAATCGTCGATTTCTATTTTCGCGATCTTCATCATTAATTCTTGCTAAACGTCGCATATTTTCACGACTTTCATCATTAGTTCTTTCTAATCGTCGCATATTTTCACGATCTTCATCATCAGTCCTTTCCGTACGTCGCATTTTTTCGACGATAAAACGTTCATTATCACGTTCATCCCTAAATCTATGTTCACGTTCTTCATTACTTATGCTTCCTAATCGTCGCATATTTTCGCTCAATAAACGTTCATTTGTACGATAGTTATTTCTAACTCGACGTTCACGATCTTCATCACTAGTTCTTTCAAAGTGTCGCATATTTTCACGATTTTCATCATTAGTTCTTTCTAATCGTCGCATATTTTCACGATCTTCATCATCAGTCCTTTCCGAACGTCGCATTTTTTCGACGATAAAACGTTCATTATCACGATCTTCATTTCTAAATCTATGCTCACGGTCTTCATCACTTTTGCTTCCTAATCGTCGCATATTTTCGCTCAATAAACGTTCATTTGTACGATAGTTATTTCTAACTCGACGTTCACGATCTTCATCACTAGTTCTTTCAAAGTGTCGCATATTTTCACGATTTTCGTTATTAGTTCTTTCTAATCGTCGCATATTTTCACAATCTTCATCATCAGTCCTTCCCGAATGTCGCATTTTTTCCACGATAAAACGATCAATATCACGATCTTCATTTCTAAATCTATGCTTTCGGTCTTCATCACTTATGCTTCCTAATTGTCGCATATTTTCGGTCAATAAACGTTTAATTGTACGATCTTTATTTCTAGTTCGACGTTCACGGTTTTCATCACTAGTCCTTTCTAAGCGTCGCATATTTTCACGATGTTCATCATTAGTTCTTGCTAAACGTCGTATATTTTCACGATTTTTATCATTAGTTCTTTCTAATCGTCGCATATTTTCACGATCTTCATCATCAGTCCTTTCCGAACGTCGCATTTTTTCGACGATAAAACGTTCATTATCACCATCTTCATTTCTAAATCTATGCTCACGGTCTTCATCACTTTTGCTTCCTAATCGTCGCATATTTTCGGTCAGTAAACGTTCATTTGTACGATCTTTATTTCTAGTTCGACGTTCACGGTTTTCATCACTAGTCCTTTCTAAGCGTCGCATATTTTCACGATGTTCATCATTAGTTCTTGCTAAACGTCGCATATTTTCACGATTTTTATCATTAGTTCTTTCTAATCGTCGCATATTTTCACGATCTTCATCATCACTCCTTTCCGAACGTCGCATTTTTTCGACGATAAAACGTTCATTATCACGATCTTCATTTCTAAATCTATGCTCACGGTCTTCATCACTTATGCTTCCTAATCGTCGCATATTTTCGGTCAATAAACGTTCATTTGTACGATTTTTATTTCTAGTTCGACGTTCACGGTTTTCATCACTAGTCCTTTCTAAGCGTCGCATTTTTCCACGATGTTCATCATTAGTTCTTTCTAAATGTCGCATATTTTCACGATTTTTATCATTAGTTCTTTCTAATCGTCGTATATTTTCACGATCTTCATCATCAGTCCTTTCCGAACGTCGCATTTTTTCGACGATAAAACGTTCATTATCACGATCTTCATTTCTAAATCTATGCTCACGGTCTTCATCACTTATGCTTCCTAATCGTCGCATATTTTCGGTCAATAAACGTTCAGTTGTACGATCTTTATTTCTAGTTCGATGTTCACGGTTTTCATCACTAGTCCTTTCTAAGCGTCGCATATTTTCACGATGTTCATCATTAGTTCTTTCTAAATGTCGCATATTTTCACGATTTTTATCATTAGTTCTTTCTAATTGTCGTATATTTTCACGATCTTCATCATCAGTCCTTTCCGAACGTCGCATTTTCTCGACGATAAAACGTTCATTATCACGATCTTCATTTCTAAATCTATGCTCACGGTCTTCATCACTTATGCTTCCTAATCGTCGCATATTTTCGGTCAATAAACGTTCATTTGTACGATCTTTATTTGTAGTTCGACGTTCACGGTTTTCATCACTAGTCCTTTCTAAGCGTCGCATTTTTCCACGATGTTCATCATTAGTTCTTTCTAAATGTCGCATATTTTCACGATTTTTATCATTAGTTTTTTCTAATCGTCGCATATTTTCACGATCTTCATCATCAGTCCTTTCCGAACGTCGCATTTTTTCGACGATAAAACGTTCATTATCACGATCTTCATTTCTAAATCTATGCTCACGGTCTTCATCACTTATGCTTCCTAATCGTCGCATATTTTCGGTCAATAAACGTTCATTTGTACGATCTTTATTTCTAGTTCGATGTTCACGGTTTTCATCACTAGTCCTTTTTAAGCGTCGCATATTTTCACGATGTTCATCATTAGTTCTTTCTAAATGTCGCATATTTTCACGATTTTTATCATTAGTTCTTTCTAATCGTCGTATATTTTCACGATCTTCATCATCAGTCCTTTCCGAACGTCGCATTTTTTCGACGATAAAACGTTCATTATCACGATCTTCATTTCTAAATCTATGCTCACGGTCTTCATCACTTATGCTTCCTAATCGTCGCATATTTTCGGTCAATAAACGTTCATTTGTACGATCTTTATTTCTAGTTCGACGTTCACGGTTTTCATCACTAGTCCTTTCTAAGCGTCGCATTTTTCCACGATATTCATCATTAGTTCTTTCTAAATGTCGCATATTTTCACGATTTTTATCATTAGTTTTTTCTAATCGTCGCATATTTTCACGATTTTCATCATCAGTCCTTTCCGAACGTCGCATTTTTTCGACGATGAAACGTTCATTATCACGATCTTCATTTCTAAATCTATGCTCACGGTCTTCATCACTTATGCTTCCTAATCGTCGCATATTTTCGGTCAATAAACGTTCATTTGTACGATCTTTATTTCTAGTTCGATGTTCACGGTTTTCATCACTAGTCCTTTCTAAGCGTCGCATATTTTCACGATGTTCATCATTAGTTCTTTCTAAATGTCGCATATTTTCACGATTTTTATCATTAGTTCTTTCTAATCGTCGTATATTTTCACGATCTTCATCATCAGTCCTTTCCGAACGTTGCATTTTTTCGACGATAAAACGTTCATTATCACGATCTTCATTTCTAAATCTATGCTCACGGTCTTCATCACTTATGCTTCCTAATCGTCGCATATTTTCGGTCAATAAACGTTCATTTGTACGATCTTTATTTCTAGTTCGACGTTCACGGTTTTCATCACTAGTCCTTTCTAAGCGTCGCATATTTTCACGATGTTCATCATTAGTTCTTGCTAAACGTCGCATATTTTCACGATTTTTATCATTAGTTCTTTCTAATCGTCGCATATTTTCACGATTTTCATCATCAGTCCTTTCCGAACGTCGCATTTTTTCGACGATGAAACGTTCATTATCACGATCTTCATTTCTAAATCTATGCTCACGGTCTTCATCACTTATGCTTCCTAATCGTCGCATATTTTCGGTCAATAAACGTTCATTTGTACGATCTTTATTTCTAGTTCGATGTTCACGGTTTTCATCACTAGTCCTTTCTAAGCGTCGCATATTTTCACGATGTTCATCATTAGTTCTTTCTAAATGTCGCATATTTTCACGATTTTTATCATTAGTTCTTTCTAATCGTCGTATATTTTCACGATCTTCATCATCAGTCCTTTCCGAACGTTGCATTTTTTCGACGATAAAACGTTCATTATCACGATCTTCATTTCTAAATCTATGCTCACGGTCTTCATCACTTATGCTTCCTAATCGTCGCATATTTTCGGTCAATAAACGTTCATTTGTACGATCTTTATTTCTAGTTCGACGTTCACGGTTTTCATCACTAGTCCTTTCTAAGCGTCGCATATTTTCACGATGTTCATCATTAGTTCTTGCTAAACGTCGCATATTTTCACGATTTTTATCATTAGTTCTTTCTAATCGTCGCATATTTTCACGATCTTCATCATCAGTCCTTTCCGAACGTCCCATTTTTTCTACGATAAAACGTTCATTATCACGATCTTCATTTCTAAATCTATGTTCACGCTCTTCATTACTTATGCTTCCTAATCGTCGCATATTTTCGGTCAATAAACGTCCATTTGTACGATCTTTATTTCTAACTCGACGTTCGCGATCTTCATCACTAGTTTTTTCAAAGTGTCGCATATTTTCACGATTTTCATCATTAGTTCTTTCTAATCGTCGCATATTTTCACGATCTTCATCATTAGTTCTTTCAAAGTGTCGCATTTTTTCGACGATAAAACGTTCATTATCACGTTCATCCCTAAATCTATGTTCACGCTCTTCATTACTTATGCTTCCTAATCGTCGCATATTTTCGGTTAATAAACGTTCATTTGAACGATCTTTATTTCTAGCTCGAAGTTCACGATCTTCATCACTAGTTCTTTCTAATCGTCGCATATTTTCACGATATTCATCACCAGTCCTTTCTAAGCGTCGCATATTTCCACGATCCTCATCATGAGCCCTTTCCGAACGTCGCATTTTTTCGACGATAAAACGTTCATTATCACGATCTTCTTTCCTAAATCTATGTTGACGGTTTTCATCAATTATGCTTAATAATCGACGCATATTTTCGGTTAATAAACGTTCATTTGTACGATCTTTATTTCTAGTTCGACGTTCACGATCTTCATCACTAGTTCTTTCAAAGTGTCGCATATTTTCACGATTTTCACCATTAGTCTTTTCTAATTGTCGTCTATTTTGGTACATATAACGTTCATTTGTACGATCTTTATTCCTAGCTCGATGTTCACGATCTTCATCATTAGTTCTTTCCGAGCGTCGCATTTTTTCGATCATAAAACGTTCAGTATCATAATCTTCATTTCTAAATCCGTCATTACAATGTTCACCGTATGTTCTTTCAAAGCTTCGCACATTTGCCGTCATATAACTTTCTTGTTTTCTTTCAACCTCTAACCTGCTAAATTTCCTTCGGCTAAAAGTAGCACCATCCTTTTGAGAAAAACGTTCGTTGAAATTGTTGTTTTGGCGCTCCAACAGGTAATTATATTCTTTCTCACTTTTCCATTCAGGTCTTTCATTCAATTGAATTTCATTACTATCAAGTTTTTTGATATTATCATCATCACTGTTTTCGACGTTAAACGCAGAAAAACTTTGCACACCATTATCAGTCCATTGCTTTTGACTTTTAATAGCAGAGTCCACTTCAATTGCAATTCCCGTGCTGTTTAGCGAAAGGGTTACCCATATTTCTTTGTCACATAAATGTTCTTCACATTTGCGTTTGTCATTATCATAATTATCATTAAAATTGTTCTGGCAAACATCGGTAGAGTATTCGTGGAAAGAAAATTCTTTTTCACAAAAATAATTAAAATGTCTTAATTGATTCGGTGTAAAATAAAGATCTTTAAATTTTGCAAAATTATTGCTTATATCAAAAGCAAATGCTCCAAGTTTTAATAACGTTAATGCAAGTATTGAAGTTGTTAGCCAAAAACCAGATACCATTGTCACTTAAAACAATTAATAGTATTGAGTATTTTCCCGTTAAAAAGCCCGATTTTAGAATATATTTAATTCTGTAAAAGAATCAAATTTAAACTGAATCTAAAATTATTTTTCTTCTCCTTTTATAGTAAAATTATTTTTCTTCTTTTGAAATTTCTTCTTAACCAACATTATTGTATGTAGGTGTTTCAATTTTAAATTTGACTTATTTGATGACAAAATTTAATTTTCTTATCACACATGTGCACCAGTTTCCCTATTATAAAAATTTTTCCAATTTTACAATCTCTTTACCCAGATATGGATGGTAAATCGTTATAAATTTTCTTTGGAATAGAAAATAGAATAGAAAAGGATATCAGTAGGAGTAATAAGAAAAACGGGTTTACAGTCTTTTAGATATTTGATACATTCTTTTTTTTAATTTTCTTTTTCTTCACATTATGAATGAAATTTCAATTCATAAAAATCGAGACATACAGAATTCATTTATTGTTAAGTGGTAGGAAAATTTAACTGTATGTGCATATGTACATGCGTATCGTGTAAAGCCTTCTTATCAGTAATTTTTTTTTTTGCAAGAATTAACATAAAATCAGTTTTATTTGATTATAGGTTTATGACGTCAGAATAATAAAAATATAATAATTGAAAATTAAAATGTTTATTTAGAATCGGAAGTTATATATAAAAAAATATTCTAGATTCGAATCAAAAATACCAATTTATAAGAGTAAAGTAAGATGAACACAGCATTGATGCTAATTTTATATTCATCACCTTTCACAAAATTTTTAATCAAAAAGGAAAACTAAAATACTCTAGAATAATTTGAAGAAAAGTGACCTAAAAGGGAAATATTCCAAATTGGTTTTTTGCTGATCGGACCAAACCAAAATATTCGAATATTAAACGCACTCGACAGGATATTTAGTAATGTATTTTCGCCATGCAATATATTCTAATGTTAGGAATTCTTTAACGAAGGATATGTTATTCCCATTTTTTTTAAAGTAGCCCATTTCTCTTCAACAACGTAAATTTAACGATTGTCAGACATTTTTTATTCAAAAATCCTGAAATCTAACGAAAAGATATTTTGAAATACATAATTTCTTATTATCATAAAGTTTTGCATAAATTTAGAAAAATCTTTAAGTGAAATATTGAAATTTTAAAACAATTTTATCTAGGATGAAGATTAAATTGTATTGTCAATTAATTTAGTTTAGACTCAAGCTAAATTTCGAGTAGCTTTGCAATTTTATAAATTGGAATAAAAAACTCTTTCTGGAATAAGTTAGTTTTAGCATAACGAATTATTTGCAGGCTTATACATTTTTAATATCTCATGAGAGAAGAAATAATCCCTGATCTTGCAGCGTCTACAAAATTACGAATTGCCTTTAATTTGGACCCTTTAACTTGTCGAACACTTACATTATCACGAGTTCGAAGAGATGTAATAAAAAGATATGGAATAATTTTCGTTCTGGAGATTTTATATCCTTTTCAAAAACAAATTCAAATATCAAAAATCTCATGAGCAAATATGTTTTAATTAATCTTTTCTGGCTAAATTCGGTAAAGAACATGGTATAATTTATGAATATCAAAATATCAATGTCAATAATTATTTTAATGTTAAAATTAAAATCGTCCAAAAATAAATAGGTAAATCCGGCTATATAGTCAATACATATGGAACATTTTTATATACTTATGTTTAGAAACTTTTTTTATGAACAAAACAGTTTGTTTTTGCTAACTGAATTCAAAATAATTTTAATTACTTCGTTTTAGGTCAAGATGTTCCATAGAAATTTTTATAATTAACTTCACAAAAATAATTTACATACATGCACACATATCGAATATATTTGCATACATATGCACATATGGACATATTAAGCATATTATGAAAAAAATATTAAACTGTTTTTAAATTACATTTTTTATTAAGGATAACAAAAAAGAACTTATTTAAAAAAGAAAAGTTTTAAAACGCAAATTACGATATTCAAGTTCAAGAATATTTGTTTATGTGCCCTTTTTTAAATTAAATTGCAGGCGTATCTAATTTATTCTTATTATAAGACATTTTAATAACATTATACTCGTATACGCATTATGTTAAGTCTGGCAGAAATTCGATAACAACGTTAATAAAAATTGCAAATGGTGATCAATTACTATTTTTAAAACTCTTAAGAAATCACAAGTCTATCTATATGTATGTATATCGATATAAACTTAGAAAATGTATACGATATAACCATTATAATGTTCTTATCATGTCATAACAATAGAAAGAATCCTTTTTTATTCAAGTGTTAACAAAATACATCTGCGCAATAAAACAAGAACCAAATTGTATAAAGAACATATTGAAAATATTAAATTAGGGGGAATTTCTTTCAACAATCTTACAAAAGAACAATTTTCGATTTGACCGAAATTTTCTAATATGTACAATAGAATTAAAAAAAAAGGCAAAGAACTTAGATCTATATTTATTAAATTAATTATTCGGAAAATGAATAATAATGTTTTTGCTTGTAACAATTTCTATAAATTAAAAATTATTACCAGTTTTGTATTTAATTTTGGGTAATTAGCTTCATCTTAAATATGCACATAAGCATACATTCTTTATTACATAAGCAGTAAATACTAGTCAGTTTTATATTTGGATGGGGGATTTTTGCTTATTCAGTTCTAGAATAGTTGTAGCTTGTGGTACGTTCGAAAATTCACACTACACACACTGCAAATATAGATGGTTCGGAAATTACTGGCTGCAATGAAGTGCGTTCGGAAATTCAATCTGCAATAAAGAAATGCTAGAAATGTAGCATTGAAAAATTTTTTTTTAATTTAAAACTCGAAAAAAAATTTTAAATTTCAAAACTGCGGATTCTGATATTGAAAGGTTATTAATGTCAGTTTTCTATAAGTCTTCAAACCTTGTTCAAATTTCCTTATTTTGTAGTGAATTGTAAGGGGAGAAGTATTGGGATATAATTCCATAAACAATGTCATTTCTGTTATTTTCGAACAACTGATTATTTATAAGTTTTAAAATTTTGTAGATTGCGTAAACAAAAAAAACTTAGCTAAAGCTTTTCCATACTGTTTAGCGCTTATAACTTATAAATTCATTTCAAATAAAAACTAAATATTGTACGTAAAGTGTTGGGACTTAAAGTAACTAGAAATTGGGTTAACGATTATTTACTTCATAGAATATTAATTTTCCTTTCCGACAACACAAGTTTCAATTTTAACTATTGGTATTTTTATTGCTTTGATAAATATTGTAAATGGACTCAGATTACTTCGAAAAAAGACCATTCATTTGAATTTTGATTGGCAAAGCCGGCAAAATGTGGCAAGTTATTTTTTTTTAATCCAAAATTTGAGAAGTTATTTTTTTTTACAAACCATTGCGCCATAGATATAAAATTTTTACTGATACGTATGTGGTTAATTTTGATAGACGGGTACTAGTAATTTCTTCAATAAAAAAATCAAGTAATTGTTGCCTTTTTTAAAAAAGGCTAATACCAGCCAAATTTTTTATGAAATTGATTTCTTCTTTTCTATTCTGAATAACATATTTTACAAAATCTTTATACATACATACTTGCTTTTACTAACAAGATACCATTTTTTCTTGCTTTTATATACATAAGGTACAATATTTTTTTCGTCCAAATGAATTTATGTAAAAAAGCATTCTCTCCTTGAAAACCCCATAAATAATATCCTAGTAAGAACATAAATTTTTTTTTGCGTATTCATTTAGATTAAATATTTTTCTTTTTGATATTAGACAAGATTTTCCACTATATAAATACCACAACAATTTTATTTTAGTTCATTTTGTATCTTAACACTCCTAGAGGAAAGTGTTTTCGAAAAAGAATTTTATCATGGTGAAAAAGTAAGAAATTAGTTTAGAACTTACATAACGCTCAAAATTATATGAAAAAATTTAATTTGTGCCTTTTTAATAAAAGAAATTGAATAAGATTGTGTATATTTCAAATTTTGTAATAAAATCATTAAAATTGTAAACTATTAGAAAATTTTATAATTTTACAAAATAACAAATTTTAAGACAAAATTTTTAATAATACTTATTCTAAAAATGAAAATTTAACGCAATATTTAATTTATTTTATTTTTCTTCTGCTCTAGAATTCAACTTCAAAAGGTTTTCATAAAGCGGATGACTTGATAATTTGAGTTACAGGCGTAACAGTTCAAATTCAAGCACCAATTAAAAAAATGTTTAATTACATACTGGTACATGGATTGGATCACGAGAAAAAACTAAAATATTACAATATCAATAATCTTTATTTATAATGTGAGCCAATATAAGAACTGTGCGCAACAACTTCGACCTTTCTAACTTCTGTTTTATGGGATCACCTTTTTAATATCAAAAGTTTATATTTTACTTAATATAATAAACATATTTTTATTTACTTAAATTCTTGACACTATTTTGTCGTTTGTAACTATTTCTATATATATAGTTTGAAATAACAGCTGTTCAAGTAAAATGAAATTTAATAATTTCTTTTTAACATCCTCTTTTTTCATTTCGAGCTTTATATGCGATATTTTTAATACAGTATCTTTATTATATTAAATGTCTAGCTGTCACACTTTAAACTTTTAAAAAATAATTTATTAAATAGTTGGCGACTCCTAAATTATACAAAAAAAAAAATGTTTTTATCACAATAATGATCTAGAATTGAAATAAAATAATGTTATAAAATTTGAAATTTAATGTGTTTACAAATATATATATATTGATATTGTATAAAACATTTAATACATCACTTTATGCATATTACAATTTAAAAGTAGAAAAAGCCTCATTTAAACTTAAACACAAAATATGTATATTATCACAAGAAAAAGAAAAAATTAAATGTAATAATTGTAATTGTTATGTTTACATACATATATAAAACATGTACATTATATTTATAAATATTATTAATCATTTAATAATCAAAAAAATAAGTCTAACAAAAAATTAATTGATTAAAACGAAATTTATTGCTTACACAAAAATTTCATTTGTCTTATTTTCTAACAGTTAATAAAAACGAACGGTAGCTCCTTTACCGCGAGAGGTATCTTTCGTTAAAATTTTTTTTTCCATCGAAGTAAAAAAAAGGTCCTGGTAAGATAATAGTTGCGAAGGGTTCTATGTTTATTGCATTTGCCGAAAATTTTTTTGCTTTTTATGACATTTATGCCTTTTATGACCCTCATTTTCTTAAAACTAATTGTTTTATTATTTATTAATTATAATATTCTATATTTATTTAATTTATTGAATTCTTTCAATTTTTACATTTGGCTTCCTTGAATCGGGAAATGTCTTCTTTAAACGTCAATATGTTTAAAGGTGAACTTTTTTCATTTCATCTTCTTAAAACAGTTTCTTACCTCATTACCCGTTTATGCTTCAATTATTACTGATCTTGTAAATTTTACTAATGATGCAGTCTTGTTCTTACTCTTTATATTTCAAAATGTGAACTTGTTTTCAAATTTCAAAATTATACTTTCTTGAAATATGATATTTTAATTTGGAAAAGCAGAGTACTGTAGAGAAACTTTAGGAACTTAAGCTGGATGTCATACAATGTATTTTTTTTCTCTTTTACTCATTATTTAGAACATAATGTTCTCCGTATATACAACATTTGTATAAGGCTAAACAACTGCGTTAAGTTTTCTTGAATACATTGGGAAATTTAATCTGCATTGGGTTTCAAGGGGGTGCATGCTACAATAATAAAAATTAGTTTAATTCAAAAATTAGTTTAAAAATTTTACCCAGTCCTTATTGTAATCATAATACAAATATCTGGAACTATAAGAAAATTTTATTAATAAAACTGCAAAATTTAAGTTTTTTTTTCAATCACATTTTATTCATAAAAATAAACACTTCAAACTTGTAAAGTAAACTTCTACTTTAACCTTTTATATTATATATTCATACATACATTTAGAGATTTGTATATTACGAAACTAAATGAAATTTATAAATTAAAAGTATGAACACAAAATTGAATTTATGAAATAAAATTAAAAATTTGTGCTTTGAAAGAATGTTTAAGAGTTGAATTTACAATATGTAAATAAATATTTTAGCAATTTTTTAAATTCTTAAATAAATGTTAATTTAATATAAATTAATTTATTAGAAAGAATAAAGAAAAACAAAATTAGATCCTGCATAATATTAAGTTAATTTCCAAATAAATGCATTTACTAAGATCTTTCAAGTTGGAAATTTATTAAATTTTAGACCACAAAAAAGAAAACAATTTAAGACAAACTTGCGAATAATCAAATATTTAAGCACTAAAGTCATATTTTAAATTTGAATTGAAATTCATTTCATCCATATTTTATTCTTTTTATTTAATTTTCAAAATTCTAATGAGAATTCAGCTCATAATGAAATATTTTAAATTATTGGATAAGATTCATATGTACATAAAAATTTTGGGGCACCCATCAAAAATATATTTGATTTTTTTTTTTTTGAACCGAGTATAAGGAGAATTTAGGTGTTAGAAAGAGTAAGACAAGGGAACTTCGAAAATTAAATAAATTTTATTAACTAAATTGTTAAATTTTTATGAGTACTAAAAATTAAAAATTAAAAAAATACAATAAAAATAGTGATGAGGGTAAAGTAAATTGATTTCCGTTAATATTTATAGAAATATTGTTAAATTGTAATTCAAGTAAAATAAAATTTTGTGGTGGTAGATCTTCTCTAACGGCTTCTTGCAATTCTACTAAAATAATAAAATATATCTTAAGATAAAGAAGAAATAAGACAACACCTGAGACATTGGCTGTTGCTATTAAGATTGCTGAGCGTACCTCTACTATATTTTCAACATAGGGTAAATCTTCGAATAGATAGGTAACAGAGTGGTAAGAGTGTTTACGTCAAAATTCTATTAATTAATTCATAATAATTCTTATTGTTATTCTTCATTAGTACTAAATCTTTCGACTACATTGGCTTAATTGTATACAGGATCTAAAAGAGTTATTTTGTATCATTAAATTAATTATTAACTTAAGAATGTTATTTTTTTTTAATAAATTTCAATATATATTTTGTGAAAAAAATTGTGAAAATTTGAGATCTAATTTATTAAATCAAAAATCTAAGAGACTAATGCATTCACAACTAAGTTTTCTTTTTTAATTTCGTATAACTATCATTTTATGAATTAAAATTTTTATTACGATTCTTTTAAATACCTGTAAAAAAGTTTATTGAATTTATTATTTCTTTTTTTTTCTATTAAAATAACGACAAATTTTTTAAAAATTCGTAGTAAATTTTTTTTAATTTCTAATTTTAATTTTCTGGTTTTTTTTTTTAATACTGTGTCTATTTTTGAAAAGTTTAGGGTTCAAAAAATTGTTCAAAACTTTTGTTTGATTATTTTAACTCTGCAACGTAGAAAATTTATTAAATCTTTAAATACAAAAAAAAAAAACACAATGAATAATTTATTAATAAAAATGCAAACAAAAGAAATATTACACACTTAATTTTGATATACATAAATTTCTTAAGCAACGGACGGTATTGCAATAAACAGAAATATTGGACGGTGAAATAAGTTTATAATTTTAACAAATTTTAAAATAATTTGATATTATTAACAATTTTGCATAACTTAAATTATAAAATATTTCAAATATCGACATTAATATTTTTTGCAAAAATAATAACAAAAATTTTGTAAATTTAAATAATTAATATTTTAATTTCATGTATTAAGTAATATACACACATTTATATGAATTTGAAAATTTCATTCTGATTTATTGTAGTTTTAAAGACTAGAAATTTTTGAATATTTTATTCCTACTTTTGAACTGCTTTATTTAATAATTATAATTTGATTTCTGAACATTAAATATTCATATTTAAAAATATATTGTGTATTACAAATTACGAGAAATTTTGCAAAAATGAAAAATATCATGGACTATTATTTGAATTTGTAATACCTTTATTTATTTTATTATATGAAAATAAATATTTATAGTTAATTTAGGAAAAAAAACATGTGTACAGTTCTACTATACTTTAATATTCAATTTTTATGACTATTCAAACATACTTTAAACAATTACTTAAATTAATTTTTAAAATGTCTTTCATTCTGATTACCTTTCTTCTGATTCTGATTTTAACTTCTTAATGGTATTATATACCTTAGAATGACTTTCTTTCCTCTTCATTTTTCACAACCCTAAAGACTGATTTTGTTTGCATTTAAATTAATAAAATTTTTAGAAAAAAAAAAAGATTTTTCCCAGAAAGTATTGTATGTAACATACCCTTTGGTTTTGACTATTGTCATCTAAAAAATATTTTATTTCATGAAATATGTATATTTATTATATTTTTGTAAAAATATATTAAATTAATTATTGTTTTAATATAATTAATTTATTAAATTATTTATCTTTTAATATTAAAAACAACAGTGTTCATAAATATTTGTGCAAAGGAATCAAAAAATTCATATTATGCCAGATTAAAAAATTACTATTCAGCTCTAAGTTTCTTTATATAACTTTGTAAAAATGTAAATTCTTAAATATTTGGTAATTCAAAAAAAAAAAACTGGCATTCAATAAAAAATACATATGTATATTTAATTTTCATCCTGGAAAACCGCTTTGCACAAACATATTTACGTCAACTCTTGTTATACGTATTCAATATTTTCTACTATAAACAACATAATATTTTAAATACAATATTTTAAACAATATGTATTATGGTGATAGTCATTTCAAATTAATTTCTCTGAACTATAATTATTGTAAATGGAATACAACATATATTTGTATTGAATTAGAAGTAATCCAATTGTATAAATCTCAATTTAAGTAATGCATTTTATATTTAAAAAAAAAATTATTTTTACATACTGGTTTTATTTTAGTTGTTTTATATTAATACGCACGTAATTTGTTTTTTCATTTCTCAATAAGACAGGCTTTACAAGACTAAAGATAGTTGTTAATTAATGCAGCCAACTGTACTTTTTTATCATAAAAAAAAAAAAAAAAAAATATATAATATTTCTTAAAATAATCTAAAATTAGTATTGTTAATACAAAGTCTTTAAATGTGGTAAAAAGGATATATTGTGATTTAAAACTATACATTTTTTGTTGTAGCAGGTAGTAAAATGTTTTTAAATGATCTGAAAATAATCTAAAAATAATTTGAAGATGCACATGTTTTTTATTTTTATTGCTTGGCCTTATTTTTGAAGATAAGGATAATAAAATAGTAGGTAAACTTGAAATGGCATAAAAGATAAAGAATATTTTGAATATACATACAAAGTTAAAATACAATCAATTTAATATTTGTTATTTATCACATTATAAAAATTTCCAAAATAATAAAAATAAATTTAGTAAGAATTATGTATCTAATTACTATTAAGAAAAAGAGTGGGAGAAATATGTAATATAAATTTTTTGTATATAAACCATAGATTTAAGGAAATAAAAGGAGTTAAAAATTTAGAATACAGAAGACACACTTCTTTTAAATTTTGACAGAGAATTATTATTGTTATTAAACGCAGGAATCCTAGTTTAATACTATAATAATTACTTGTGACGAATTTCAATTTAGAACACGCCAGCTATTTATTTTCGAGACAGAAAGTCATTATTTCATTGAACGTAGGAATCCTAGTTCTTTGTTGTAATAATTATATGTGACAAAATAAAATCAGCGAGTACAGGAGACAATAATTTTTAAGGAAAAAATTATAATACTTTACATGTTTTGGTGACCCCGACGTGATCTGAGTTATACAATCGAAAAAGCATTACACACTCATCATGGAACAAGCAGCTAAAGATCAACTGTTGTTATCAAAGCAAATTAAGACGTTGCAGCAAACGTATTATCAGCTAGCCGAGGAAAGAAGATCGGTTAAGTTGATAAATGAAAGGATCCATAAGTTAGATGACTTGTGGAAATCATTTGAAGAAAAAGATGAGACAATTCGATTGAAGTATGGTACGGAAAAATCTCACTTTTATTTTACCGAAGAGTTATATCAACAAGTCGAATCATTATATACTACATTTCGAGAAGATTTAATGAAGAATGCCGAAGCTAAATCTAAGGGCAGCTTAGGCATTGATGAACCGTCGAATAAGATTGAAGCATTGGATGTAAATGAAGGAAGGGTTCAGTCATCAGATAGTGCTAATAAAACAGAAGGAGATGACAACTCCCCAGTAAACGAACAATTACGGATAGCAATCAGAAGCAGTAAAAGAAGCTTGATTTTATTGCAGAGATTTATGGATGAAATCTCATTAAACAATAAAAGCAAAGAATATTACGAAACAAAAATACAAGGTATTGAGAATAGGTGCAGCACCGTTCAACAAGATGATAGAGAAGTATGCTCTAAACATGATGATCCTGATAAGCACGGCTATAATCGTGAGCTAATACATCAAGTATTAAAGAGGGCGCAAGATCTTATGATACAATTAAAAGAAAAAATGAATTCGACAAATAAAAATAAAAATAATGACACATCATTTAACATAAAAAACAAGTTACCAGCTATTACGATACCGACATTCGATGGAGCCTATTCGAATTGGATGCAGTTCAGGGATATATTTACAGAACTGATTCACAAACAAACACTTCCGAATGTAGAGAAGATGTTTTATTTAAAAGCAAACGTTCAGGGTGAAGCAGAAGCCCTAATTCGCCACTTGACAATATGTGAAGATAACTATTTTTTAGCGTGGAAAATCTTGAGCGAAAGATACAACAACAAGAGATTATTAGTATCTACAATAATTGAAAAATTTCTAAATCAACCGAATTTGATTGCTGGGTCAGCTAAATCATTAAAAAATATGTATGATGTAACAAAAGAATGCGTTTTATTATTGGAAAATTGGGGGTTGGAAATTGATGGAAGTTGGGATCCAATAATGTTGCAAATTTTATTAAAAAAGCTCGACAAAGATACGCATTCATACTACGAACAGTCACTGAAAAATCCTAAGGAGTTACAGTCATTACAAGAATTTTTGAAGTTTATCGAGATGAAGTTTCAATCATTAGAGGCTGTAGGTTCCAAACAATTTTCTGCAATGAAATATAAAACAACATCAAGTCAGAAGGCTTCATCATTTTCAACAACATACAATCCAATAAAATGTCCAATTTGTGGTAACGGACATTTAATAATTAGTTGTCAAAAGTTTACAAAAATGACAGTTCAAGAACGAGAGGCTCAAATTAGAAAGCTGAATTTATGTTTAAATTGCTTTAGATTTGGACATCAAAGAAATACATGTTTTTCAAGAGGATGCAAGAAGTGTGAGGCAAAACATAATACTATGCTACACAAAGAAAGAACTATAAATCAACAAAGTCTATTTAAAAACAGCAAATTAGATGCAAGCAGTACCAGCCAAGCGAATTCAACAGTATGCAGTCATCCAACAAAAACAAAAGTAGCAGCAAAGATAAATACGGAAATAAATCAAGATATAAGAAATGTAACTTCGAATGTAGGATCATCATTTCGTAGAAAAGAAAGCTATGTGTTTCTGGGAACTGCTCTAGTGTCAGTGACAGGAGCAGATAATAAACAACGTGATTGCCGTGTATTACTTGATTCAGGTTCACAAGTTAACTTTATTACCGAAAAATTACAAAAACAACTGAAGTTAGATACCAAGTTTCAAAAAATGGAAATAAATGGAATTGGCAATCTACAATTTATACCCACAACAGATCGGGTTAATATTAATGTCCAATCTAAAGTTAAAAATTTCAATATTAATATTGATGCCCAAGTCATTAAAAACATAACGAGCGATCAACCACAACGATTCATCAACATCAATGATTGGAATATACCAAAATCCATTAAATTAGCTGACCCCAATTTTAACCAACCTCAACGAGTTGACATGTTGTTGGGAGCAGAAATGTATGGCGAATTGATGCAATCAGGGCAGATTAGATTACAGCAAGATTTACCAATGTTACAGGACACAGTATTTGGTTGGATAGTCCTGGGACGAATAAGACAAGCAGAGCCTGTAGCATCTCTCACAAGTATTTCAAACCAAGATCTTGAAGATGAATTAATAAAATTTTGGGAGTGTGAAGAAATCGAAGAAGTGAAACCTTTAACGAAAACGGAACAACAATGCGAAGAATTTTTTAAAGCAACAACTAAACGAAATAATCAAGGGAGATTTATAGTCAATTTGCCTATTTTGGTTTCTCCAGAATTACTGGGAGAATCAAGGCATATAGCTCTAAGAAGATTTATTAATTTAGAGAATAAATTATCAAAAAATTTAGAATTGAAAAAGCAGTATACACAATTTATGGATGAATATTATAAATTAGGGCATATGAAGAAAATTAATGAAGCTGATATTCCAAAACAACATTGTTTTTTACCACATCATTGCGTAATAAAAGAAGAGAGCAGTACGACTAAACTTAGAGTGGTTTTTGATGCATCAGCAAAAACATCGTCAGGACTTTCTCTCAATGATATTATGATGAAAGGACCAAAAACACAAGACGATTTATTTAACATTCTTTTAAGATTTCGAACATATAAATATGTTATCACAGCAGACATAAAACAGATGTACAGGCAAATTCAAGTCAACAAAAAAGATCAAAAATTGCAACTAATTATGTGGCGGTCAAATCCAAAGAACGAAATAAATTTTTATCAATTGACTACAGTAACATATGGAACCAGATCGGCTCCATACCTGGCTACGAGATGTTTAAATCAACTAGCAGCTGATGAATCAGTTAAATACCCAATGGCGGCACAAGTTATACAAGATTTTTACGTTGACGATATTATAACTGGTGGTAGCACTCTAACTGAAGCTATTGAAATTAAAAATCAATTAAGAAATTTGTTGAAATCAGCTCAATTAGAGTTGCATAAATGGGCTTCAAATGATGAAAGATTGCTCCTGGACATACCAAAAGATAACAGAGAAAAAGAGAAAGAATTTTCAAATGATGACCAAGGATATATAAAGACTCTCGGTTTATCGTGGCAACATCAAAATGACATATTTTCATTTAAAACAACTTGGGTAGATAATGAAATAAAGTTAACAAAACGAAAGGTTGTATCAGAAACGGCACGGTTATTCGATCCTTTAGGTTTGGTCAATCCAATTATTGTTATCGCAAAAATATATATACAAAAATTATGGAAATCAAAAGTAGATTGGGATGAAGAATTGAATCATGAGTTACAACTAGAATGGAATAATTTCCGAGAAAGATTAATAGACATCA